AGCTAATGCAATACTGCCCTCAGTCATTGAAATGTTCGTCAATCCACCACCCCCATCAATAATCATTTACATATTATTAGCATAGTTTATTCATATTAGCAGTACATGTTTCACAGTTCACAGTTTACAACTAATAGATTTCCGAACTGAGAGATCATGTAGGTGACCTTGACAGTATATATTAGTGTCACAGGGCGACACCTCATGGCCACAAATTGGATCTCAGACAAAATTCTGCCTCTGATTTATATTTTGGGAAGATTTGGCAGGTCATCAACAAAATTACAGATGTATCTATGTGCGGAGTTGTATATAGAGAAAATGTCAAGCTACATGTATTTGGCCAAGACCATCTGAGCATGGAGTGCAGGAGGTGAAAGGTGAAAATATTGAGATCAACTTTCATGAAAACTGTAGAAAACAATCACAGTGGTCACAACAGGGAATGTTTGTTCTAAAGTTTTATTTATTTTCTTTTGTAAGTTTGAGGTCTATTTCTAGTGAGATCACAGTAATAAATTACCTAAATCTTGGCAGAAAGCCAAGTTTTTAGAGCCTGCAGATACTTGGCATAAAATTAAACACATATTTTTTTTCAAAAAAAAAGACATTTTTGTTAAAACTAGATTGTGTCACGCAAATTAATGGAATAGCTAAACAAATATTTCAAGTAAATAAAATGTTTGAATTGATTTAAAAAAAAAGAACCTACCGTACTGCTATTGTTATATAGCATAATTGTACAAAGACATGCCATCAATTATCTGAGACCAATGCCTGATACAAAGGTCATAGTTCAAATTCATGTGTGTGACGTTTACACTGGCATGGTAACAGCTAAATGATGTCATTTGCATATGAAATTGACAATGATAGTCTGAATGATTCTAGCAGTGTGTAAGTACTCCATGGTGTACTATATGGTTGGAGAATAATTGCTTGAAAATATAAAATTACATTGCAACACAAGCATCTCATCTCGTGTTCGATATGCGTCCTATACAATATATTATTATAAAATATACTATTTGTTATGAAATTCGAACATTTGTGCTGTGGCGCTTAAATGTAAATAAATACTTTTCAAACAAAATATTAGTATTTTACAAAATATTGGTTATAAAAATTGTTATGAAATGAAACATTAAAAACAAAACAAAAAAAATATTCAAAAGCGAATGATTGTTCTAAATTTCTTTGTAAAAGTATATTGGTGTACAGACACAGTTTTATCAGTTCCTTCTTTAATATTGAAATTTATATTGAATCCAGACAAAAGCTTCATAACTTCCCTTTTAGCATGGAAAACAGTTGTTTTTTTAGACTAACCAGAAATGTTAATTATTTATGTAAATGAAGGTTTGTGATTATAGAATTTGTTCGGTTTGTTGGTGTCCAGTCAATTAAATAAGACCCAATCTTCAATGAGTTGAAGATGCAATGCGAGACAGTTTAAATAATTTTGTTCGAGAATGCATTTGATAAAAACAATTACGTACATGATTTTACTGAAAAATAAAAACATTGTCTCTTTTAAACTCTATATGAATTAAAGGGTGGTGGTCTTCATGACATTTTGTCAGATGTCTCACAAAATTAGAATACATGCTGCTTGAAGACCAGGCAGCATAATATGTTCTAGAAGCTTCTTTCTTTTTGTATTGAATATCTTGAGTATCCGTGGAAAAAAGGACGGGCAGTTCTGAGTGCCCCATCCCCACTCCACCTACCGTAACTCATTTTGGCTACACACCTAATTATCTTACAGGTTGATAAAAAATGATTTGTGATTTTTGCTTTTTTGTTCCATGTCTCCTTTCCTCTAACTCTTTCTTTACTTTATCATATTCTGGATTATTTTGATGATAACTAAGTTTCCAAATACGGGGATAATGCAGCTTTTGTCTGGTACCTAAAATATTTCTTTCAATATCACGTTCTGTCTGCGTCATATGTCGTAGCTGAACAGTTGTTGTTTCCGGTGTTGTTAAATATCGGTGTTCATATTTTTTGAACTTGGTTGGTGGACGGATCTTCCCCTGATCATCGAGTGGAGGTACGCGCACCTCACTTCGAATTCTTAGTTTCTGAAACTCTTCCAGGTTCAACTCTGATTTGGAGATAGCAATCGTACATTTTTTCTTGTCTCTGATCATTGGAACTTCGCGCAGAAACTTTGCATAATTATTTTCCCCAAGCTCTGAATGTGGCGGCACATTTATTGGATACATTGATGCGATCAGCTCTGTTATGTTTTTCCCTGAGGGGTCTAACTTAATATCTTTCGTTAAACGAAAGTTTCTCCATGTATTGCTGTCATAATCAGCATCCCATCTTGGTGGAAAAGGAGGCCCTCTCTGGCCAGCTTCTATCCATGCTTGATATGGTTCTGATGCATCCAAATGAGTTGAATCAGGAATGCTGGTACGAAGCTTATGGTGCATTTTGATACTTGCAAGAGTTTTTGGCATTCGTTTCTGTGTTAATTTCTGAATTGGACGAGGTGAGAATGCAGTGAACTTGACGTCTTTGTCTTGGTACAAGTTTTCTCGTTCTTCTCGACTCAACTTCCTTGATGAGCTTTCATAATAAGATCGACCCGCCAGTGGGGAATAATTACCAGCCATCTGTAAACAATATGAATCACTTTTGAAATATGTACTTTTTTTGGGGGGGGGGGCATATTATCTGGCTACATTCCATAATTTCTACATTTAGCAGTGGAATAAATAAACACATTTTATAGGGGTATAAATTGTGGAATTAGTTTTCTCAAACATTCCATATTAGAAAAAATGAAATGGGAAAACTCTAGGATTTGTTGTGTTTAAAATTACTGCATGCATTTCAACCTGGTATTTGTCTAGTTCGGTACAGATCATAGCCTGGCAGAGGGGGTATGTGATAAGCGTCTGGTAATGAAAACAAGTGGGCAAACCTTGGATACATACATTTATTACCGACGGTATAAGAAAAACAGCCTTTGTCAACTCATGAAATATACTAGTATTTCCGTCATCTTGAAAGTTGGATAGCAAAACAAAAACCTTTCACAACATTTAATTGAAATGTTATAAAAAAAATGTTAAAAAGCAACAACGTTTAAAAAGATTTGATTTGTCATAACGGATTCAGTTCACTACGGATATCGCACTTTAATTATGGTGTTCCGACAACATTGGCGACAAAAAATCAACCAGTTGCTGAAAGACTTCAAGGACACACCTGCCTGCAAGTAGTTGTTCATTTGACTTGTATGACAATATCGTGAGTTTGCGGTAAACTGTGTTACACCGATATCACCAACGTTGAAAATAACCACAAATAATCATGAATACGTTACCTACCATGTAGTATTTCTTTTAAACTATGAAATGTCGCCGTTCATGATCATACGCCCATGATTATGGTGGAAAGACTCATCCTGTTAGCTCCCGCGGGTCCACCATTACGGTTTCTAATATACGATCATTTCGGTTGTTTCATTTTAGATCAGGTAAGTCGACGGATTTGTGGCTTTCCAAATATTCGTACAACGTCAACCTTGCGCGTTTTGTTGAACCTTTTATTTTATAAATGTATTTTTTTACAAATTTAATTAGTTGAATAATCTCAATTTGGACATGGACAAGTTTACATTTGTAAAAAATGTGCGGGCATTCTAATTCGTACATCCCTTCATATTGAATAGTCGCGCCCATGAAGTGCTTGGCAACGTAAATAGCGTACCATGAATACAGAGTATCTGATTAGGCTCTTCCATCCTCCGTACACCGGCGTCATTTGACGTAAAATCACAGAATAACGGCGAATAAAAGACAACTTTCGTCAAATTATTTTTAAGACAATGAAAGATGCTACTTTCAGGATTATCAGCATGATTTCTATCATTTCAACTTGCCAACGGAAACACTGTGAACACCCTTTTTATTTATTCGCAACCGGGGAGGAAACTAAACTTTTGAAACAGCTAATTGCTATGCTAATTTATTATTTAGTTTCCGTCACTGGTTTCCTGTGTTTCTGGGGTTTCGCGACTGTTTGCTAGTTTTTTATGACCCTAAATTCACACTGGTGGATCGGTCGAAACACCAAGAAGAGATCGAGAACGCCTAAAAAAGACGGGCGGACATTACATTAACGGAGCAGTTGGTTATTTTGCTGTCGTTCAAGACATGACCACGTAAAGATGAGATCGTAACCGAGACGATGTCTCTCAGCCTGCAGGTAATACTGTACTTTATTTTTAGTGATCCCCTTGCCACTTGGAGACTAGAAAAATTTGCGCAGTACCAAGATTATATACAAACCGAACTGTTTATTTAATTAAATGTGTTGAAATCATCGATTTAACTATTTCTCACGTGAGTGTGTGTCCTGGTGTTTATCTGACAATAACGATATCCCTAGAACATGTTTACGTAAACCACGGTGGCTATTCGATACGCAACACCACAACTCACACGCCGTGTATTCTCTCTATTTGTTCATAATTTAGTAAAATGTTACCGAAAACCAAAGTGATATTAGTCATTACCACACATG